AATGGTCATTTTAGCCCCTATTTATTGAGAACATTTTAATCTCATTGTTTTATTTTAGAGTAAATAAAACTCCTACCGTTTGATCAAATGGACATTTTTTGCTTTTTTTTTTTATCATTTTGACACTTAATATTTTATTTTAGGATAAAAGACCCTATTTTAGAGCGTTAATCATTTGTTAACTAACGATTTTCAAGCATAGAGAGACATTTTTCTTAAAAAATTAAAAAAAATGATTATTTTAATAAATATTGAAAGATAATTTCAACATTAAACCTTTTCAATTTATATCAAACGTTATAATATAACTTTGCGTGAATCACCTCATCACCAATCACATTTTAAAATTCATAACATGAGAAAAATGTAGAAATTGTTTTAAATGTCCCACATCTAATATGGAAGTACTTGAAGCTTTTTCATTCTGATTTCATGACATTCGGATTTTGCCAATTCTAAAGCTGCCATTGTGGGGTTGTTTTACTCTTCTGCCTTCATTTTGTTTAGACACGATTTTCTGCTCATATTCACTCCACTTATTTAATATTTCTTGTAAAATTTCTGATTATTAAAGTACCGAATAAAGTCATATAAAAATATATAGATAACGTTCAATTTTTTGTATTTGTTTTCCTGTAAGTTTTTCTACAATTTGTGCAAGATTAGAATAAGATTAAGGTGAACGAATTAAATTATTTTAGTGATTAAAATGATGGTTGTTATCTTTAAAGCTTTTAGGTTCAAACACAAGAGACCGGAAGAGTGATAAGCTTTTATTGTCAAATTGTTAAAAATCTTTAGAAAAATACTAATTTGTAATCACCTTATATTAATAAAAAAATGTTAAAGTAAGTCCTCAATCCTTAAATTTTCATAAAATTTAAGATTTCCTTCGTATATTGAAAATGTTAAAATAGAATATTGTATAAAATAATAATATAAAGGATAACTTAGAAAACAAATACACAAGAAAAAAATTTTAATTAAAATATAAAAAGTGTTGAGATATTAAATTCATATTAAGTCTTATTTTATCGATTTGCCAAGTTGTTCGTTTTTATATTATCATATTTTTATAGGTTATGAGGTTCATTAATAGCATTTGGCTTCTTTCCAGTATATATATTTTTTCTTTCTCCTCTCTTCTATGTAAGATTAGAATTATATTTAAAAATTAACCAAAAAATCATATTATAAATAACTCAAAATTGTATTATAAATCTTCTTAAACTGTAATTATGCAGTTTTTTTAATATAATTTATATGTATTTGATTTATTAATACTAATTTAGATCAAGTATTGTATTGGCGAAAACAACTCTTCCAATCTAATTTATTTTATTTGTAAACATTATAATTTAAACACCTAACCTAATTAAGAAATCTAATTACAATATCTTAGTAGATCAACTGATTGTTGATAGTAACTATGCAAATTTTATAAGTATTATTATAGAATAATATATATTGATAGGCACAGTAAGGTATAGAAATGTTAAAAGGCTAGTAGATTTATAAAGAAAATTAGAAATACATAAGCGTAATCCTCTGTACTAGGGTTTCAGCCGTCTGTGCTAGGTTTTCGGCCATTTTTTCGTTTGTCTTTTTCTGCTTTTGTGGCAGTATATGAGATTTGCTCAGTTTCTCTAGTTTTTTTTGCTAGTTTTCGTAATTTCTTTTCGTGTTGTTTTTTATGGGGGGATCTGGAAAATGAAATTGAGAATCTGAACCTAGGCGAAGACGAAGATGAAATCCTGGTGCTACAACAACCGAGTTCAGCCTCTCCGATCTCTTTCGTTCATTGTCTGGTAGGACGGTTTCTAACATCGTCAACGGTGAATTTTCAGGCGATGCAGGTCACACTGGCTAACGTGTGGAGGCCAATTGAGGATATCGTAATTACGGATCTATGTCAGGGTCATTTTCTTTTCCAATTATTCCATGATGATGATGTTGATCGGATTGTTACGGATGGTCTGTAGTATTTTAGTTCACATATTCTATTGTAGTATTGGCTTAGATCGAAGGAAAACCCGATGACTATAGAACTCCACTGAGCTAATTTCTGGGAGATTGTGAATGATCTTCCGCTGGTTTCATCTCCGAACAAGTGGCAAAGCAATTTGGGAATTTCATTGGAACTTTTGTTGACTATGATTCCACTGTTGTTTCAATGGGGTATAAGGGTAGTATTCGCGTGAGAGCTAAAATGGATATTCGGAAACAGTTGAAACAGATGAAACTGATTGTGCTGCCCAATGGTACATCTGTGCATGCCTTTTTTCAGTACAAGAAGCTGCATCTATTTTTCTTCTTATGTGGAAAATTGGGGCATGGTGAAAAGTTTTTTCCCCATCGAATCTTGAAGGAGATCCGATCCCTCTGTGTGATATCTCGATTTGAGCCTCAATTATGAAACGCGAGATCCAGACTAGCCCATCGTCACGTGACGAATGCGAAGGTGCTGGGAATATGACCTTAAACAGTGGGGTGGCGAACCCTAGTTCGTCATCTACGTCTTCTTCTACAGTAAGGTGTGATCAGACTAAGGCTTGGGTTGAGAAAGTTTTTCTGGAACGAACGATAACCACAAACAGCATGGGGATATGGATACAATCATGGTGGCTGTTGAAGATAATGATCTATTAGGAAATTTGGATACCACAAAGAGATTGAGGAGGGATCCAACAACTCCACGCTCTCAAGATGAAAATGACGCTGAAACTTTTAAAACATCGACAAGCATGTCTTCTCAGGCCAGCTAGGATCAATGAAGATTTTAAGTTGAAATGTCCGGGGTTTGGGAATGACCCAGATGGTTCGTCATCTCCATTACACGGTTAGAGACGTTAAACTATCTGTAGTTTTTTTCATGGAGACGAAACTACAGAATTTCCGTATGGAGAAGATTCATAAGTCGTTTAGTTTTTTGCATGGTATTGAGGTTGAGGCGCAAGGAATTCGTGGTGGCCTTTTGTTTGGCGTGGCGTTCAACTAGTGATGTGGTTCTTTGTTCTTTGTCTGCTTCTCATATAGATATGGTTTTTAATCTAGATTCTGATGGGCAATCTTGGAGGTTGATTGGGTCTTATGAAGCACCGTAAGAGAGCATGAGAGGGGAGTCGTGGAACTTACTTCGCACCCTCAGTGAGGGTTCTGATATCATATGGTGTGTTTTGGGTGATTTCAATGAGTTAGTTTACTCGTTTGAAAAGGAGGAGGAAGTTTAAGGAGTGAGAGACAAATGACAGCTTTCTGTGATGCTCTTGATGATTGTAACCTAGAGTATGTAGGTTACAATGGTGTTTGGTAAACTTGGGAATATGGAAGGAGTTGTGAAACCAATATCCACGAAAGATTAGATGGAGGGGTAGCAAACGATCTTTGGAAGAACCTCTTTCCGAATTACTCTCTCAAACATCTAAGTCATACTCTTTCTGATCATTGTCCTTTTTTACTAGACACGGTGCACAAAAATGGTGCAGCTCGAAGGTGTAACTTTCATTTTGAAGACTCGTGGCTTATGGAGGAGTCGTGTGAAGATGAGTTCAGAGGTTGCGGTCTGAGTCGGTGGGTCTGGTGCTAGATAAGCTAACTTATGTTAGCATCAGTTTGGACAAGTGGTTCAGAAATATATGTACAGTAAGGCGTCTCACTGCAGCGGAGCTAACGAAGAAGTTATTTGATTTGTTGGGATTACAACTCACAGATGAGACCTTGGGAGAGATTGTTGACACTAGACTTCAAATTAATTTTGAGATTGACAAGGAAGAATTATACTGGGAGCAGCGAGCTCGTGCTAACTGGTTGGCGAATGGCGATAACAAAACTACTTTTTTTCACTGTCATGCTTATTCAAGGAGGAGTCACAACCATATCTCTGCTTTAGAAGCCGATGGCGGTACTGTTCTTGAAACGGATATGGGAATTGAGGAAGAGGCTCGCTTTCTAGTCTCTCTTGACCTCATATTGTAGTCTGATCACTGAACAGATCTTGGGGGTATTAGGATATGCATTTCTCAAGACACAAATAACAATGTAATTCGGCCTTTCACTTTTGAGGAAGTGACCAGTGCAGTCAAGGCTATGTCCCCTTTGAAAGCGGTAGGAGAAGATGGTTTAGGGGAAGTGTTCTACCAAAGATTTTGACATTTGATTGAAAAGGATGTGGCTGAATTTTGTATTGGGCTGATTTAGGAATATTTTGATATGCGAACAGTGAATGCAACGCATATAGTTCTCATCCCTAAAATTACTGCTCCAAAAAAAATTATCCCATTTTCGACCCGTCAGTTTATGCAATGTAATTTATAAGATTCACTACAAGAAAATATACTTTTAATGACATACGCTAATTTATGGCTCGTAAAAAATGTGTCATAAAAAAATGTCATTTTTTAAAATCTGAACGATTTATGACTTACAATAATGTGTGTCATATTTAATAGTCATAATCCAAAAAATTTGCAAAAACACGGAGTACACTTTTAATTGTGTGTCATTTGTAAAAGTCGTCTTTTAATTTCCCCCCATTATTTTCATCCTTTCCCGCTTCTAGTCCTGGCCTCCTCGATAAGCCGTTCACACACGCATGCTTCCCCCCCTTTTTCTCTTTTTCCCTTTTTCTCTTTGCATCAGTCCACTGCTTTATCCATTCACCACAACTTTATCCATTCACCACAACTTTACCCGAAGGAAAACCACATTTGATAAAGAAGCTTGCTGATGTAAAATGTCAAAGGGTAAGAAACTTCTTTTTTTAATCCTTTTCAATTAATCCATCCTTTATTTCTCTGTTTTGCGTGTCACTTGCCATTGATACTTAGTTACTTCTACGGTTTTTGGCTGCACTTTCACGTTTTTTTTCTTCTGCTATTCTTAATAAAGAAGGGTTCATTGAAAGAGGTGAATACTAGGATTTCGGTGTTGAAGGACCAGATATCATGGTAGATCTGCTAAAGGAATTGCTTCCGGTTTTCGTTAGCTGTTTCGGAATGGAGAGTTGAAGTGTTGTTTTATTTTGCACTACAAGAAAATATACATTTAATGACACACGAACGATGACACACGCTAATTTATGACTTGCAAAACATGTGTCATAAAAAAATGTCATATTTTTTAAAATCTGAATGATTTATGACTTACAATAATGTGTGTCATATTTAATAGTCATAATTCAAAAAATTTACAAAAACACGGAGTACACTTTTAATTGTGTGTCATATGTAAAAGTCGTCTTTTAATTCCCCCAATATTTTCATCCTTTCCCGCTTCTTCCCCTTGATAATCAGTTCACTCTGGTCCACAACTCCCGCAAACGATCACTTGCACATCTACTCTCCTTCTCTAACCACCGCCACCACCACCGATTCTGCCATTTTTTCCGAGCCAACTCCTCAGCCTTCGGCTCTAGTGCCTCATCTTCCCAATTCTCTTTGATTAGGCGATTCTCTTCTTCTTTTACTTCATTCTTTTTTGTTTCTAATTTTCATTCTTTTTAGTTGTCTAAGAAGGTGATAAATATGTGGGAATTGCGAAGGTTCGCATCGCAAGGGATTTCTGATGGTGCAGGGATTAGATCTACTGTGTGGAAGGTAGTTTTTTCCCTTTCCCTTTATACTGTTTGCTTGCTGAGAATTTGAAAAATGTGGAAATTCCTTGGAAAATGTGATTCTTTTTTTATTATTACTAAAGACCGTATTGTTTGGTTATTGTGGTAGTTGTTGTTGGAGTATTTATCACCTGAACGTGGGCAGTGGTCGTCAAAATTAGCTAAGAAAAGGTCTTAGTACATGTATTTTAAGGAAGAGCTCTTGATGAATCCTGTAAGTCATTTTCTTTACCTTTTGCTTGATAAAATAGTGTATATGACTCAGTACGCAACTATGACATTCATTATGTGGATGTGCTAGTTGCGAGTAAGTATGATACGATTAGCTGCTTTGCTTAATTCTAATGTAGAATTCCGACATCATCTATAAAGTATTAAGTGGATAAGTAATGAAAGAAACCGATATTAGCAGAGAGCTAGAACATGCAACTACTATTTTGTAAGAGAAAAGTGAGGCTTATCCATCTCTTGTTGGCTGTACATTGTTTTTCTCTCCTAATAATAGAATGACTTCACATGAGTTTATTTATTTTTCGACATTATTGTCCTGAAAAGTAGTGTTATCTTTTTTGGTTGTCGTCTTTCACTTCCTTTTGTTCCTATAAGAGATTTGGGGTTTCTGAATGTTTTTGTGGCTAGTCAGTCAGAAATCATAAGGAGGTTGGAGAAGTTTGTGGCTTGTGACAATGATGAATCAAACTCTGAGAGCAAGGGTCTGCTTTCAAGATCACATATAACTCACAGAGAGCATCCTTTGAGCCTTGGGAAAAGCAGTGTCTAGAACCAATTCTTCCAGGTACCTTCTTAGACTGGTCTGAAAAATAAGTTTTTAGAAGTCGTACATCATTCCATGTGTTTTTAAACTTTAATGTCTGAATGTGTTAAATATAACATTGTAAAAAACTTGGTTATTCTTGTATGAATTGATTAAGTTTTAAAACATGAGCTAGCCTAGTAGTCTTCATGTTAGCTATTCCTGAAGCATTTTGCACTACATGCATCCTTGGAGAATATTATGCCTTGCAGTATCTATCTTTAATTTACCAATAATAATTTCTTTCGTATTGAATCTTTTTATATTTTCTTAGAGATCAGGGTTTAGTATTTATTATGTTGATGTTGTTTGGGAATATAGTAAGAAACACTGCAGCATCTAAGCTTCATATTGATGCAAGCCTTAACCTAAGTTAAAGGAGGGGGGAAATTACACAGTCCATGCAATTCAGCCAAGTCAATTTCCATCAATGCTTAGTTGAGCATACGTGGAGTCTTAGTTCAAAACACTAGAATATATATGAAAACAATGCAAGGGAATTATGATTTTCAGATTTTAATAGAATCTATTAATGGAGTGCTTATAGATATCAAACCTTTATTCTTTATTTTTTATTTTGGGGACGGGGTTATTTGTAGAAGTCAAAAATCATAGAACAGATTGACCGAGATGTGATGCGTACTCATCCAGACATGCACTTTTCTCTGGGGACTCGCAGCTTGCAAAATCTAATCAGGAAACAATCTTCTTCTTTTCTTTTATTATTTCATGTGAATTTAGTGTTTCACCCCTTTGGACTTAAGTTTAGATATGGATTGAATAATTTCCAGACTTACATGCATATTGCTTGTTCAGGATGCAATGAGAAACATATTAATCGTATTTGCCAAGTTAAATCTGGGCATAAGATATCTTCAAGGAATGAATGAAATCTTGGCACCTCTATTTTATGTATTCAAGAATGACCCTGATGCAGAAATGGCGGTAAGATCTCATTATTGTCCCCAACCAGTTCTTTTTTATTAAATCTCTAACATGCGATTGTTTTGATTTTCATGTATTGAATATGAAAAGAGGTTTCCATGATTTTCTTGTTTTTTTTTGCAACTCCATTGCATCAAATCCATCATTTTTCTTGCCCCAAGATACCCAAAAAGTTTAAACAAAAATAGTAACTTTCAAATAGATTACAGCTTTTGAAAAACAGTACGGTAATGTTCATTTATCATTATTGTTATCAACTTGGCGGACATATATATATATCATATGCACCAAATATGGAGTATCTATGCCAACATATAGCCATAAACCAATTACAATTTCAGTAAGATCTATGATCGGGTTGAGTGGGATTTCTTCTAGAAAATTATGGCATAAATAGGCTTCTCAGATATTTGGATTGAGTGTTTAAAGAGGTATATTTGTTCGGAATCCTAGGCGGTTATTCTAAATGGTGTGGCTAGTCGTAATTTTGTCCCTTATCATGGTCTTCGGCAATGTGATTCGCTGAGACCTTATTTATTCTTTTTATGCAGTGAAGGGCATTATGCTTTAATCATATAATTTATCTCTTCGGGTTTGCTGAAGGGATCAGAATCAATCAGTATGCTCAGCAGTCTCCCATATATTTTTTACCGTTGATAGTTTTATCTTTGGCGAAGCTATAACTAGAGTGGAAACTCAAATTAAAGATTTGTTGAATGTTTATGGGGAGTGTTCAGGACAACTGATTAATTTCGACAAATCAGACATTTTTTTTCAGTTCCAATGTTATCAATTAAAACAGGAATGATGTTCGTCGTATCTTGGGGTTGCAAATTTATCGAAACTTGAAAAATATTTGGGGTTACCATCAACGGTGAGACATAACAAAAGGGATGCTTTCACGTATCTACGGGATAAATTCCAAAATCAAATTCGAAGATGGAGTATTCGAGTATTTTCTTAAGGTGGAAATGAAGTGTTCATAAAATCGATTTTTAAGCGATCCCTTTGTATGTCATGAATAGCTTTCTTATGCCAAAGAGTTTATGTAATGAGCTGGAGCAAATTATGGCTCAGTTTTGGTGGCAACGAAGTGAGAAGAATAGGGGCATTCAGTGGTGTCAGTAGAGTTGTAATATATCAAACATCGGGTTAGTGACCATAATAAAAGAATTTAAAATTTGGTGGGTTTAATTGAGTAAATTGAAAAGTGTAAGGAATGATTTAGGAAATTGTGTTTGAGACTAATTATTAAGAATGGAAGAATGAAGGGACAATTTGGTCCTTTTGAAGGAATGAATTTAATATTAATTTAAACTGGGATATTGTTGAAAACATTTTGATATTTCGATATAACAAATTAAGATAAATGAATTTTAAGATTTTCCAAAAAGAATTTCTAAGTATATTCAATATAATTATTCGAATATCAAAATATTACTCCAAATCTTTCAAAAGTCATTTTTAATCCTTACTCAAGTATAAAATTAAGTTTTAATCTTAAAATTATTTCAAAATAATTTTACAAAGTATTTCGAATCTTTTCAAAGCCAAAAATTCCAGAATATCCAGAGGGAACCGATTCTCCCTGAATGGTTTGGCTCCGAGAAAAACAGAATGCTCGAAGGGAACCGATTCCCCCCAAAGAGGGTACCGATTCCCCCATGTTTAACGGTCGAAATATTTGAATTTTACACTTAAGGAATCGAATCCCTATGAGGGGATACCGATTCCCCCTACGCTCCAAGCAGAAATATTAATTGTTTTCACACTTAAACGGCTCCAATAACTTCATTAATGATCCCCAACGTTCAGAAGTGATTCAAGGAGTATTTAAACAAGCTTAGAAGCCTTTGATCAATAACATTTTATCAAGAATCAAGAGAGAATCAAGAGAGAATCAAAGAGAAAACATCAAACCTCAAGTTTGAGCAATTCAATCCATTTTTCATTCAATATTCATCTTTGCTTTCAAGAACACTACTTGTACTCAATTGTATTCATCTTTGAGTGTTTTTTCTTTGTTCTAGAATTGTGCAAACATCTTGTCTTGTGAGGATTTTCTTGTAAGTTTGCAAAATTTGTATTGTTCTCTTTGGGAGAGAGTGTTCTCAAGAATTTGGGGTATAATTCTTGATGGATTTATAAGGTTACTCTTTGTTCTCAAAAGAAAGACAAATTAGTGAATTTGTGGAAAATCCTTAGTGTGGATAGCTAAGGTAGTGGACGTAAACTTTGGTTGAGAAAGTCGAACCACTCTAAATAGTTGAGCAATTACTTTCAATTTTCTGCACAAGCTTCCACCGAAATTTTTATTTGCCAATTCACCCCCCTCTTGGCCATATTCATAGATCGATTAACTCAACAATTGGTATCAGAGTTTGACTCATTTGAAAGTTTAACTACCTCTTGAGTAGATCCGGAAAGAGTTACATCGATAATCAAAGTCATCAATGGACTCCGCTTCAAACGTCGACTCCGGTCTCGATTCGATGCCCGTCAACAAGCCTCCTTTCTTCAAAGGAGCTAACTATTCCTATTGGAAGAATAGGATGATGTATTTCATTCAAGCCAGTGACATGGGAGCATGGAATGTTGTAGAAGACGGATATATCAAACCTCTCACTCATCCAAGATTGTGGAGTGAATGAGAGACAAGAATGTTCCAGCTCAACTCCAAAGCTATCCATATCATATTTTGTGCTCTTGGACCAGATGAATATGGAAGAGTTTCATCTTGTACAACCGCCAAAGAAATTTGCGATAAACTACAAGTCACTCATGAAGGCACCGACGAGGTAAAAGAATCTAAAATTAGTCTTCTAACACATAGCTATAAAAATTTCAGGATGAAACCAAATGAAGATATCAAAGCTATGACGGATAGATTCTCAACTATTGTCAATGGTCTCAAATCATATGGAGAGATCATTCCTAACGAGAAGCTTGTGAGGAAGTTAGTTTACTTACTTCCAAAATCATGGCAATCCAAGAAGATGACAATCATCGAGGCTAAGAACCTAAAGTCCTTAACTCTTGAAGAGCTAATCGGTTCTCTCCTCACTCATTAAATGATGCTTGAAGATGAGGTGGACCTCGATAAGATTAAAGAGACACCAAAGGAGAATGAGAAGAAGAAAAACATTGAATTTGCTCTCAAATCCACAAAATATGAGAGTGATTCGGATGTAGATGACGATGACAAGGAAATGACATTGTTTGCCAAACGGTTCAGAAAAATGACGAGACATTACCGAGGAAGAAAATTCAAACGAAATGAAGGCCTAAAAAATGAACCAAAAGAGAAGGACCCAATCATTTGCTATGAATGCAAAAAACCGGGGCATGTTAAATATGATTGCCCATAATTGAAGAGAAAAGTTCAAGCAAAGAATAAAAACAAGGCTCATGTGGCTATATGGAGCGATGAAGAAGGTTCCGATGAAGAGGAACAAGAAGTAGCAAACTTGTGCTTGATGGCATTCGGGGAAGATTCTAAGGTAACCTCTAACTCATCTGATTTTGATGATTTATCTTATGATGAGCTATTAGAGGAATATAATGGGTTGGCTTCGGATTATGAGAAATTGTTTTTAAAATATAAAAATTATGTTTTAAAATTGAAAAATGAAAATAAACTCATATCCAAAACCAACAACGATCTTGAAAGTAAAATCAAAGATTTGCAAATCAAACTAGAAGAGTTTGAAAAGAAAAATTTGGATTTGAAAAATTTACTTTCAAAGGTCAATGATGATCATCAAAAGAAAATTGATGATCTTAAAACCTCTTTTGATAAAGTTGGAACAAAACGTTTTGAAAATGGAGAAAATTCAAAATCCAACCTTGTTAGAAAATGTTTTAAAAACTATAATCATAGAGGTCCCTGAAGAACCTCTAATGGAAAAATCGTTAGAAGTATATGGGTTCCTAAAGAGCTCATTACTACTAAAGATAAGGATATCCTACACAAATGGATACCTAAGGGGACTAGGATTTTGGAAAGTAATGAATATGGACCCAAAAGAATTTGGGTACCAAAAATTAGAAATTAATCTATGTTTGTAGGAAAACGAGCATTGCTACAAGGCACGAGAAACAAACTCAAATTCATGGTACCTTGATAGTGGATGCTCGAGACACGTGACCGGAGACAAAAGCCGGTTCATAGAGCATAACGCCAAAAATGGAGGAGAAGTGACTTTTGGTGATAATTCAAAAGGTTATATCGAAGGTATAGGTACAATAGGTAATACCTCTTCCATACAAATTAGAAATGTTTTATATGTGAATGGATTAAAGAATAATCTTTTGAGCATTAGTCAATTTTGTGATAAGGGATTCAATGTCATGTTTGAAACTAATGGTTGTAAAGTCATTGACATTGCATCTAATCGGATTATGCTTGTTGGTCATAGAATAGGAAACATTTACATGGTGCATTTAGACTCTATAGATATGACTGATTTATGCCTAGTTGCTAAGGATGAGCATGATAGTTGGTTATGGCATAGGAGACTAGGTCATGCTAGTATGAGTGTTTTGCAATGGTTAATTCAAGGAGATTTGGTTTGAGGACTGCCTAAACTAAAATTTGATAATGATAAAATCTGTGATGCTTGTGCTAAAGGAAAACAAAAGCGAGTTTCTTTTAAATCCATTAATGATGTATCAACTAGTAGAGTATTACAATTGATCCATTTAGATCTTTTTAGGCCATCTAGAACTACTAGCTTGGGTGGAAAACAATATGCATTTGTTTTGGTAAATGACTATTCTAGATATACTTGGGTTCTATTCTTAAGTACTAAAGATGAAGCATTAGAAAAATTCATCACATTTTCAAAATTAATCCAAAACGAAAAAGGTTACTCTATAACTAGTGTTAGGAATGATCATGGAACTGAATTTAAAAATCTTGGATTTACTGAATTTTGTAATTCTAATGATATTAGTCATAATTTTTCAGCACCTAGAACCCTTAACAAAATGGAGTTGTCGAAAGGAAAAATCGAACTTTAGAAGAAATGGCTAGAACCATGCTTTGTGAAAATAATTTGCCAAAATATTTTTGGGCGGAAGCCACAAATACCGCTTGTTATGTTGTAAATCGAGAAATGATTAGGCCAATTTTAAAGAAAACTCCATATGAAATTTTCAAAAATAAAAAGCCTAACATTAGTTATTTTCATCCTTTTGGATGTAAATGTTTTGTTTTAAACAACGGTAAAGAAAACCTTGGCAAATTTGATGCTAAAAATGATGAAGGAATTTTTCTGGGTTATTCCTTAAATTCTAAAGCTTATCGTGTATTTAATAAAAGAACTTTAGTTGTAGAAGAGTCTATACATGTTTTTTTCGATGATAATCCCCTTCTGAGGAAGGATTCTTGTGTGAATGATGATGTAGGTGTTATAAATACAAATGACGTTAGACATGACGTTGGAGAACCATCATCAAAGGAAGAAACGAAAAATGAGGAAACTCATGATCCTCTTGAGAATCCAACCATTGAAGAAAGGGAAGTATCTTATCCAAGAGAGTACAACTATGTCAAGGATGGTGAAATTATAGGTGATCCATCCAAAGGGGTAACAACTCGATCTTCTCTTAGAAATATTTGTAATTATGCTGCATTTATCTCATGCATAGAGCCTAAGAATATTAAAGAAGCATTAAATGATGAACATTGGATTATGGCTATGCAAGAAGAGTTAAATCAATTTGAGAGAAGTAAAATATGGACATTAGTTGAAAGGCCTAGTAATAAATCTATTGTAGGTACTAGATGGCTATTTAGGAATAAGCTTGATGAGAGTGGTAATATAGTGAGAAACAAGGCTAGACTTGTTGCTCAAGGGTATACTCAAGAAGATGGCGTAGACTATGATGAAACATACGCTCCCGTAGCTAGGATGGAAGCAATTAGAATGTTATTAGCATTTGCATGTTTTCATGAATTTAAATTATATCAAATGGATGTTAAAAATTCATTTTTAAATGGTTTTATAAAAGAAGAATTGTATGTGGAACAACCTCCAGGTTTTGAAGATTCAAAATTTCTGGATCATGTTCTTAAATTAACAAAAGCACTTTATAGTTTAAAACAAGCTCCTAGAGCTTGGTATGAAAGATTGTCAAACTTTTTAATTGAAAAAGGTTTTTCAAAAGGGAAGGTTGACACTACATTGTTTTTAAAGCATAAAGGTAAAGATTTATTAGTAGTTCAAATTTATGTTGATGATATAATATTTGGTTCTACTAATGATGTTCATTGCCAAGAATTTTCTAAGCTAATGCAAAGCAAATTCGAAATGAGCATGATGGGGGAGCTCTCATTTTTCTTGGGACTCCAAATCAAGCAAAGAAAAGATGGCATCTTCATCAATCAAGCTAAGTACGTCAAAGATATGCTCAAGAAGTTTGGGCTGGAAAATGGGAAACCTTATGACACTCCAATGAGCTCATCAATAAAGCTTGACTTAGATGAAGGAGGTAAATGTGTGGATATTAAATCATATAGGTCAATGATTGGATCTTTACTTTATCTAACTGCAAGTAGACTAGACATTATGTTTAGTGTTTGCTTATGTGCTAGATTTCAATCATGCCCTAAGGAATCACATTTACTAGCTGTTAAGAGAATCTTTAGATACCTTAAGGACACTCCTAGTTTAGGACTTTGGTATCCTAGAGACTCTAGCTTTAGCTTGCATGCATTTTCTGATGCGGATTATGAAGGATGCAAATTAGATAGGAAAAGCACCTCCGGTACTTGCCAATTCCTTGGAAATATGCTGATTTCTTGGTTTTCAAAGAAACAAAATTGTGTTGCATTATCTACCACTGAAGCCGAATACATTTCAGCTGGTAGTTGTTGTGCATAAGTTTTATGGATGAAATAACAACTTTTTGATTATGGAATTGATGTAGGTACCATTCCTATCAAGTGTGACAATACCAATGCTATTTGTCTCACTAAAAACCCATCCAACACTCTAGAACTAAGCACATTGAAATAAGACATCTCTTCATTAGAGACCATGTCACTAAGGAAGATGTAGTTCTAGATTTTGTTGATACTTTGCATTAATTAGCGGATATCTTTACAAAACCTTTAGACAAGGAACATTTTTGGACACTTAGAAGAGAATTAGGTTTAACTGACCTATCTTCACTTAGTGTTTAAAATAATTTTAGCACTTTTAAGAATAAATGAAAAATGCATATAATAGTATTTTTGATCGCATTCATTACTTTTAGTTAGGGGGAGTTTATGATTCTAGGTGAAAATTAACTTTATGTTCAAATAAATTTTAATGATAAATTTGATTGATTGAACATGATTAATTTTCAATGTATGAGTTGCCAATACCACTAGAGAAAAATAATTTAACATTTTGAGTGTTTAAAATCAGATTTTATCAGTTTTGGTGCAGAGGGAATCGATACCCCCTTTGAAGGGGAACCGGTTCCCCCCTTTGAAGGGGAACCGATTCGATTCCCCCTGTAGGGGAATCGATACCCCCTGGTGTTCTGTTTTTTTTAACACGGGCAGAACACCCCAAACTCTCAAACTCTCTCTTCTCTCTTACCTCCGTTCCTCTCTATACTCTCTCCCTACCTCCATATTTCATCAAAATAACGTTTTTAATCGGAATTCTCTTCAAATATCATCTCCTAAACCTGTTGAAATCATCAAAATCGTGCTAACTTCATCTAATCTCACTCAAATCCGAAAATCTTCAAGGTATTTTTCTAAAACTTCTTTTTCATCAATTTTTGATTTTAGAACTAGTTTTAATTAGTTCTAGGTTGAACTTTAGATTGGGCATTGATTGTTTAATGATTAGAAACTAGATTTTACAACTAATTTCATCAAAAACACAAGAATTTTCCAAAGTTCTTTGAAATTTTCGAAATAAAAAAACTGTTTTTCAAATTATTGTGTTTTGATTGAATTATGTTGTTGTTATGAAAACTATACATATATTGACTCTCAAAACATTATTTTTCAATAGTTTTCAAAAACTTTGCCCATTAGGATTGGTTTAGAGAACCTTGAAATATTGAGGACTCAATTGAGTTTTGGGATTGATTACATTGCATACATGTGTTTTATAATTGCAGGTTATTCATTCTATTATGATTTTCTTAAACCATGTCAAATCCTAAACGTGCTATGTCTTCATCTAGTCGTTCTAGCCAACCTCCAAACTCACCTCCAAATCCTCCACCTATCCCACAAATTCCTATTCCTAATCCCGATGATCCAAACATGACCATTCACAATTCTTGTTTCAATGAACCCGGTCCTAAACAAAATCTCTACTTTAGGTTTTATCAATACTTTGAGTCCTACAAAATCCAGGAAGAAAGTATCCCATCTCTTCAAGCCATGTTAGACATCAATTTTCGTCATCTTCCTACTCTTCATGAGTGGAAATTTGACAAACTCTTCGAGCTTGAACCAATTGTCTACCATCAACTTGTTCGTATCTTCTACTCTAATGTTGTTTGCATTAAAAATTGAGAGAAAACCTTAACCATAGGAATCTGATCCTATCTTCTAGGACGATTCTTTCATCTTGACTCAGAATCTATTGCCAAAGCATTAGGATTAGATAATGAAGGGTTAGACAATGAAAAACTTACGGTAGGATCTCAGTATAAGCGAAGGGATAGGGCAAGTGTTCTAGACCTTCATGACCGTTTTCTTCACCTAATGATCTCTTGATGGTTTCAACCATCCGGAGGCCGTTACTCTACTCTTCGAGCCTTATATCTATTTTGGCTTCATTGTGTCTAAAATAATCTCAAAATTAACCTTCCACAGATTATTTTTGCTGAACTTGTCGAAACCGTAAATCTTGTTCCCAATAAGAAATTATGTTATTCTTTAGTTTACGGTTGTATTCTTAGTAATCTATTTAAGAAGGCTGGGCTTAGAGTTGGTCTTGATGCTTCCTTTCCCCTCAAAAACCAAATCAATCTATTTTCTTTAACTAAATCGGGATGGAAGATCAATGAAGAAGCTGGTCTTTAGGTTCGTACCGGTGAGCAACCTCCGGAAGAAAACGACTCCGACAATGAGCCAGAGCAGCACGAAGAACAAGCACCTCTAGAGGAACAACCTCGTCCAGAGTATCAAATATCTCCATACTTCCAATCTTTTATGGAGAATATTGATTTGAGGCTTGCATCTATCGATTCAAATCTGACTACTACCACTGAAACGATGAATCGTTGTTTTGATTCGTTGGACGAAAGGGTCGATGCACTTTCACGTGATATGACCAATATTTGGTCATATTTATCTCCTCCTGATGCACCGATAGACGATTAGGCCCTGTTCTTGCTTATCTTTAATGGATCAAAACTTCAAACTTATTGTTTTAACATTTTGGATATTTTGGAATGTTTGAATTTGTGGATTGTTTAACTTTGAATTTGTTTGAATTTATGGATGTTTGAACTTATATTTCTATATATTTGGTTTGGTTAAATTTATTCATTATTGCATCATTTACATCAATTAGATATATGACCAATTTTGCCATGTCACATTGTTTATGAATATTGATTATGAAACTAATGGCTAACGTTTCTCTTGATTGTGATCTTAGCAGCTTAAGCTATATATATTTAGAATCAATTGGTTAAATGATTTCAAAACCTTGTTTAAAATCTTTTAAAAGTCTTTTTGATTTAACAAAAAGGGGGAGAAATGTTAAAGTGTTTAAAGGGGAGAAATGTTAGAGTAAGGGGGAGTAATTTGGGAGTAATTTCAAAACTTGATTTCAAAATCTTAAAATTACTAAAATGTTTTGTTATATCAAAAAGGGGGAGATTGTTGAAAACATTTTGATATTTCGATATAACAAATTAAGATAAATGAATTTTAAGATTTTCTAAAAAGATTTTCTAAGTATATTCGATATAATTATTCGAATATCAAAATATTACTCCAAATCTTTCAAAAGTCATTTTTAATCCTTACTCAAGTGTAAAATTAAGTTTTAATCTTAAAATTATTTCAAAAATAATTTTACAAAGTATTTCGAACCATTTCAAAGCCAAAAATTCCAGAATGTCCAGAGGGAACCGATTCCCCCTGAATGGTTGGCTCTGAGAAAAACAAAATTCTCGGAGGGAACCGATTCCCCCCAAATGGGGTACCGATTCCCTATGAGGGGGTACCGATTCCCCCTATGCTCCAAGCAGAAATATTAATTGTTTTCACATTTAAACGGCTCCAATAACTTAATTAATGATCCCCAACGTTCAGAAGTGATTCAAGGAGTATTTAAACAAGCCTAGAAGCCTTTGATTAATAACATTTTATCAAGAATCAAGAGAGAATCAAAGAGAAAGCATCAAAACTCAAGTTTGAGCAATTCAATCCATTTTTCATTCAATATTCATCTTTTCTTTCAAGAACACTACTTGTACTCAATTGTATTCATCTTTGAGTGTTCTTTCTTTGTTCTAGAATTGTGCAAACATCTTGTCTTGTGAGGATTTTCTTGTAAGTTTGCAAAATTTGTATTGTTCTCTTTGGGAGAGAGTGTTCTCAATAATTTGGGGTATAATTCTTGAGGGATTTGTAAGGTTACTCTTTGTCCTCAAAAGAAAGACAAATTAGTGAATTTGTGGAAAATCCTTAGTGTGGATAGCTAAGGTAGTGGACGTAGACTTTGGTTGAGAAAGTTGAACCACTCTAAATCGCTGTGCAATTACTT